GGTTCAGGGGGGCTTCTGTGAGTAGCACAGGGTGCTCCTCAGGTGCAACTCGCAGCTCGTTGTAGAAGGTGTGATGCCAGATCTTCTCCATGTCATCCCAGTTTGTCACAATGCCATGCTCAATGGGGTACTTCAGGGTCAGAATTCCCCTTTTGCTCTGTGCCTCATCACCAACATAGCTGTCCTTCTGGCCCATTCCAACCATCACACCCTGGGAAAGCAATGTTTTAGTTTCAGCCTATAAGGTTTGCAATCATGTTTCCAAATGAAGGGAAAAGGAGGCGAGTTCATACCTGATGCCTGGGGCGACCAACAATGGAGGGGAAGACGGCACGTGGAGCATCATCTCCTGCAAAGCCAGCTTTGCACATTCCAGAGCCATTGTCAACAACGAGGGCTGCAATTTCATCTTCCATTTTCTAAAAGGGAAAGAAAAATTTAGATCCAACATCTGAAAGTCTTGTAGCATCTGAACGCTGGGTGTCGCAGTTGAGTAACTCCTCAGTCAAATCCAGAGCTGCGAAACAAAAGGCAGTTTCTCGACCAGTCTGGACATGGCCATAAAAGGTAAAAAGTGAGGGCAGCCTGGAGGCAGCAGCGGCACACCGGGCCGGAAGTCATCCCGGCAGTAGCCCCAGCCTCACACACCGCCAGGCGGCCACACCCTTTACTGGAGTTACTGGGACATAATAAATGCTCCAAATGTCGCATATGCAGTCCCTTAAAAATTAAAGTTGATTTTTGAAGTAAACAATATCGACCATGTTATGCCTTTTTGGGATGCTTTAGAGAACTTCTCAGCTTCTAATTGCACTTTTTCAAACCATTTTAAAAAGACAGGTTGCACCTTAACGTCAAAGCCAAGGAACCAAGGAACGGTGATGCGCAACTGGAAAGCCAGGTCAGTTTTAAGCCAGATTTAAGTCAGCACGAGGGGTAACATGATGCTTTGAAGTTACCGTTTAAAAATTCAACGACACTAAGCTGAACACCGACACTGGAAGGTTTTCTGGGGTATCAAATTAAGCCACCTTAAAGATACGTTTAACGAGATCACGGAACATTGAAGACGAAAGCGACAACAGTATAAAGTACAGTCTGAAACCGCTACAGTGCAGCGATAACAAAAGCAAAAAAACCTCAACATCCTTTGCTCTTACCTCTGCGAAGGAGAGTTACCAGCTTAGTGCCTGACCGCTGTGCTCTGTGCTCGAGTATCTGAGATCGACTGCAATGAAGGCCAATAATTCCCAGGACTTTATTTGCGCTCAGCTTCAGCCCCTTTCCATATAAGGCAAACTTTCCGCACACCGCCTTCTGATTGGCTCCGCTGCATCCACTGGGTGTGGAGCATGCAAATACTAGCTCTGCTTGCTGATGGTTGATACTGAAGTGCAGAAAGGCACCACAAAAAAAAAAAAAAAAAAAAAAAACTAAATCCATATGTAAGTAATTTTAAGAATTAGTTTTGTTAAGTCAGCCAGAGGTCAGGGAAATACACCAACCTGTCTATTCCTCCTTCATCATTAGGATTTTAATGACTTTTGGAAAAAGGCAAAGGTCTTTTTTGTTATGATTTAACTCATAAACATACTAGTTTTATTTTTTTAATCCTACCATTATATTCATAATTTGTCTGATTTAGATTAATTAGATGTGTTTAGAAACATAAGCATAAGCACTACAGATCAACTGGAAAATTGCAATCTCAGGTTTGCTGACGGCCATGTTAATACTCTTTCACACACAATGGTAGTGATTTGAGTGACAGATACACGTGGGCATTTTGAGGTCTGTTTAACATCAAAACTCAGCAGACTGTAAATCTCATTACGTTTTACCACTTGTGTAATAGGTGAGGAGGAAACATCTTTTGGCTTCATGATACATAATAGGTGAGTTGGCGTTAAATTATGTGGCCATGTTATGACTCATTTTAATATGCTTGCTCACCTTGCAAACATGGCAAACACTTCAACTTATTGGGGCGATAACTAAATCTAAAATTGAACAAATATTATAGTGTTCCTCTTGAGAATGAGAGGCAGGGTTAGGCCGCTGTTTTAACTTAATTAGGGCACTGGGGGAAGACTTATAAACTGATACTGGGAATTCTTTCAAGCTCTGAGTGTTCCTAATAAGGATATATGGAATCCAGCTCACCAGTCGGGACTGGAAGCAGGGTTTTATAGGGACTCTTTTTTTTCTCCCGTTGTTGAACATGCACATAGGAAGTGACCAAAGCTGAGGACAGCATCCAGGCTGGCTGAATGAGCTGATCAGGGAGTTGGTTTTTCACAGCGGCTTTATCCTGCTTTAGACTCACAAGCACCAAGTATAGACTCAGGGCAGGGAACCATCCCTTTAAGAGGGGTTTTGGATGATGTCCATATAAGGAGATATTGGAGGATGTCACATGGGGGAAAAATGCACAGCTCAGATCATGTGACTAGTCTGAGGAAATGAATGAAGCTCTTTTTAAGGGTATACATGCGTTTTTGGTGGTTTTAATTTTAGTGGTGTTTGCAGGAACTTCTTTTCCCCTTATTTATTCATATTTTTGATACATTTGACCACACTGAGATTCCTCAGTATTTTATCTGAACTCTGTTTTTAAGTTATTTCAAAACTTAGCAGCATACATGAGTAGTACATGAATTACAACACATACGTACAGTAGGCCCTCCTCCCTGCATTACTCACTCACACATTCACAGAGAAACTCTCAAGCCTGGCTCTCTGCTCTGACTAAGACCGTATATGGAAAAAGCCAGCAGGTAGCCTCTGTCCACTTTCACCCCTGTCTGGCCTCCAGTGCTGTCTCTCCTTTAAACACTGATTACCTTCTTATCCTTCTTTATTTTAGAACATTTCCCCCTCCTGTTTACTGGAATTAACCACTATCGTTCTATTTCACATTACACTTTTGGGAATGTGAAACAGGTTAGACAGCCTTGTTGCCTTTTTGCCTTTATTGTGGTTTCTCCCAGTTGGTAGGGTAGGTTCATCACATTCCAGCAGAGTACATTAATTACAAGATTTGTGGCTTCAGTTCATGCTCGAGTAAACTAAAGAGAAACCTGTAAAGGAATATTGTGAAACTTAGAGAACAAACAGATTGGATTTGATGCAATGCAATGATGAAACCTTTACAACAATTTGCATGTATTTGATTTGTGTGAGGTGTGATACTTGAGCTAAAAGATACTTGAATAAATTAGGTAATTTCAAAATAAATAATAAAATCTGAACCAGTAGTGTCTGAGATAATTTTGCTTAATTTAATTATTCTAATAAATGGTTTGTAGTGTTTAACTACACTGGTTTTTGACTTAATTTTAAGATATAAAAACTGTATTAGCCAGTGTGTGTGCTGATAAACATAGCAAACAGCTGTACAAACAAGAATTCAAAAGCAGTTAAAAATAGCTTAGTACATAATCCCAGCCTTTAATCCTAATAAATTAGAATGTCAAAAATATTATAAAAAATAATAGATTCTTTACACTTTGTATATTCCAAACTTCTCATTTTATTACATAAATGTTCATGAAAATCTCAGAATTAGTTTCTCTGATAATTACAATATCATGACCAGCAAGAAACAAACAGAAAAACAAGAACAAAACTGTCCACACACAGAGGATAGAAACAACACTTGCACTGCTACTCCTTAACTTATTCCTGTGCTCTTTAACGCTGTTTGTTCAAAGTCCAGCAGAGACAGTCATGGAAACGATCCTGCAGCCAAGTCTCAGTAAACGATGTCACACTGCAATTCTGGATCTCTGGCTGACTTCTTGTCAGGGCATGGACTTTATCCAACGAGGTAAGCCAACAGTTTCAAACTGCACCTTATGATTGATTGACGAGATGGTTTGAACATCTTTCTTTCCTCCTGCTCTGCTGCATCTACACTGCCTCCTTTTCAATTTATCTGGGATTTGTGGCTTCAATACAGGTATTTTTCATGTTTTGCTCTTAATCTATTGCTCTACACTGTAAACTGGTTGGTAGTGATCATTATAAATGGCCAAAAAAAAAAAGTTTAATAAAAAATCCTTTCAGATGCTCAGCATAAAAAAACAATAGACAGAATAATTCTTCAAAAATATAATGTTTCTGCCAGAAATGGAGGAATTAAAGTAAAAAAAAATCTGAATATACATATGTAACAGGGGAAACTTAACATGCAGCCACCTTGACAGATGCAAAGCTATGATGCCCTGAACAAACTGGGGGCTCGATTTCTGTAATGTTGATAAAAAAAGCTGAGCAATAAAAGTGAAACTTGTGCCTTATTGGTTCACATTGAAGACCAGGCAGGGCAGGTGAGCAATAAGACAAAGTATTCTATATCATATAATCAGTCAAAACTAGACCTTGTTGATTCATTTAAGAACAATTCAGGTAAGCAATCAGACTGCATTTTGTTTTAAAACTGTAATTTGTGTGAAATGGGTTTTTGTGAAATTTGCTTCACACCTCTCACCAACTAATGTCAGTAATGCTTTAATTTTCAAAAGTAAGGTTTGAAAACCAAACATTTCAACTAAAAAGTTATCTTTCCTGATTGGAGTTTCTCTACATATTTCAAAGTAAATAAAGGAGCTCACACCTTTGTTGCAATATGTTACAAATATGCTAACGATTGAATTAAAAAAAAAGTTTGAAAAAGTAATTTAAGAAGAGAGGAGCCAGTTTTAGGACAAAAGTCTGAACAATTTTAAAGCATGCCATTTCTCCATCACTGGAAAATATTACAACCAAATATGATTTATCTATAAACCATGAAACATTCCAAACTATGCAAATCATTTTCTACAGATGCACAGTTTATCTCAAACTGCTTAAGACTTCATTTTAGCTTAATTTAAATATTCTGTACTGTTTTTACAACCCTAACATTCAGATAAACCTTTAATAGCTTCATTATGTAATTCCCCAAGTATATAAAATATGCTTTCTCTTTTTGAAAAAACAAAAAACAAATTCATATATTATTTCCTTACATCTTTTATTAACAAAGCATTTAGGTTTAACATAAAAACTGAAACAGATTTTCTTGCTCCTTGGGTCATCAAGCAGTCCAACTCTTTCCCATGTCTACCAGCTCCATGCCTTCGCAGTAGGACCGCGGCCGTGACATCCTGACCTGATAGAACAGAAAAAAAATAATGAAACCAGATCTTCTCCTCTACCAAACTCCACAGTCAGACACTCACTGCAGGATTTCTGTGGGATGCCAGCTGCTGCAGAAGTGGGAATGGAGTCCAGTGAATGGGTTCCACAGGCCAGCTACACACAGACAGGTCACTGGCCTTTCCTGAGTCCAACACACCATCCCCCATGCTCATCCCACTGCCCCTCCAACCATACTGGGAGCTGCAGAGCAAACACAACGCCCAGGGATTATTTACACAGACCAAACTACGAAGAAGTGATTGGTGCAATATGAGTTCAAGGTACAAAACTAAAAAAAACACAAATGTTCAAGGCAGATAAATAAGAGTTTCAGTATAATCAAGTATCTGCTTGAATCCCTCAATGTTGCTTTATTCTTCAGAGTAGAATAACTTTTTATCCTCAAAGTTAACAGGCAGCTGATGAGCACTTTCAATAAGTAGTTATGGGAAGGTGAAAGGCAGTTTATATGAATGCTAATGTGTTGAGTATTCATGTTTCAGGACAGTAAGGACATGGTTTACAAATTGCATATGTAATTTGTCTGCACAAACAGCATGAACCTCAGCCAGAACTGCACCTTCTTCCAGAAGTACATTAGGTTTTCAGAACCGGTGAAATGTATAACCATACGGAACGTAATGAAGACACAAAATATTTGGTCATTGTCCCTTAAACTTAACCATGAAAGAATTTAAAAATACCAACTTAACTAAAGTATAAAGATTTCTTAATTTGAGCCATTTTAAAATAATGCCTTGTATCCTGCCAATTTTTTCTTATGTTTCTAAAAATTAATACATGCTAGTAACCAATATAGGCAATATCTATGTAAATAAATATATTGAATAAAAATTGGATTATATTATCAGAATTATCTGTATATCTTCTAACTTGGATGTCATTTTTTGCTTTGAGCAGACTCCATCCTAGGTCTACCTGTATCACTTCTGTAGTGAATTCTGGAGCAGCTGAACATTTTCACAGGGCACTGACCCATCACACTCACGTCAAACTGGATGGTTAAACTATGAATTTAACTCCCACATCAGAAACACACATACCCATGTAGTGTAATCCTCCACCTGGAACTGGATGTCTTATTTGCTCCTCTTATTTTGTTTATGTTGAATGTGTGTGTGTTTACCTGTGGGGGTAAATTGTGTTGATACGCATCCCATGACTGGGGCAGGTGGAAGGAAGGGACAGTGTGTCGTCGTGGTAACAGCAAGGCCGGTCAAGTGCCTGCAGATGCAGTAATTCATCCGACCGCATGAAGGCAGGGTTGTCCAGAGAATCTGCGGATCCGGCCCACGAACGCAGCCAGAACCGACCCGACAGCTCATCGAAATGATTGAACCTATGATAACTGCACACATAAACTATAAGTAGTAACAGATGTCACAATGTAAAATTACACTGTGACATTACAGTGACATTACAACTGACTTGTAATTTGTGTAAATCTACAAGTCAGTTTTTCCATTAATTTCTAAGCTGCTTTCATTTCACTCTATTGATCACTTAATAACCAGAACATTAAAGGTCATTACTACATATTTTCAAACAAAGAGCATCTCCAGGATTAGAGGACTAATGTCTCAGCCAGATCTAGAGAAACTCATCCTTGCGTTTATCTTTAGTTGCATTGATTATTGTAACAGAGTCTTCACAGGCCTGTCCAACAAATCAATCAAACAGCTGCAGCTGATCCAGAATGCTGCTGCTCGCGTTCTCACTAAAACCAGGAAAATAGAGCACATAACACCAGTTTTAAAGTCCCTCCACTGGCTCCTTGTAGCTCAAAGAATAGACTTTAAAATACTGTTAGTTTACAAATCACTGAACGGTTTAGCACCACAATGCATCAAAGATCTGCTGTTGTTGTATCAACCTTCCAGACCTCTCAGGTCTTCTGGTTCTGGTTCTGCTCTGCATCCCCAGAACCAGAACCAAAAGAGGAGAAGCAGCTTTCAGCATCTATGCACCAAAAATTTGGAACAAACTTCCAGAAAACTGTAAAACAGTGGAAACCCTGACTTCCTTTAAATCTTAACTAAAAACACACCTGTTTAGAATTGAATTTGAAGTGTAATATGTAACAATGTTATTTATTCCATGATGCATGGCTTTGTGTTTTTGTGTTTATGATGTAAAGCACTTTGAAATGCCTTGCTGCTGAAATGTGCTATACAAATAACATTTGATTTGATTTTTTTATTTCCTTCAAAGACATTTCTAAAATTTGAGAACGCATTAAATTGGTGATCAGGACTGTTGTCTCAAAGAAAGACGGTCCATTTTATTTTGCTACACAATTTGTGTCCAATTGAGAAAAAAAAGTTGCTACTTAAAATTTCTGGAGATTGAATTACTTGTTCTTTGTCTAAGGATGAAAAATATTCTTAACACAATTTGCCTAAATTTGGATGAACAGAGTTGATATTATTTCAGTAAAATTACCAATTTCATTTTGAAAAGTGCAGGTCTATTATTATTGCAATATCTTGGGTGTAATTATATAAGGGAAATTAAAATGAGCCGGGGGTTAGAAAGACTCTATAAAAATCCACTGACTCTATAAAAAGTAATACCTACTGAAATGTAATTTTGTTGCTTTAACTTGATTCTCAAAATCTTCTCTGGATCTGGACAAGAGTTTATCTTCTCAAATGATAAAATATTTAGAAAATATTTTATCTACTCAAAATCCAGATAATTTAGAATTATCTGGATTAACTCTACGACTTTTAGGATTTGAGAATTAACTGAACACTGAAATCTAGCTAATCTCAATAGTAGGATTTATATGCAACTGCTACTCTTTTCTAAGCCATTAGTCTAATCTTAGCATACTACAAGCTGTCTTCATGTTTTCCTTTAATTGTGTCTGGGCACAATGCTCCCAATACTTCTTTTAAAACATAAAACAGTAGTTTAGGCTTGCACTTCCAACAGGTGTGAATCTTTAGTTTTTTATTTAAACCACACCTCTCCCCCTGTTGGCACCAAGTAGAACCATTACATGATGAAAATAAGAAATAATCACAATTACAATAATAAAGCTAAACTGTCTAACCAACCACATAGAAGTCAATACATTTTACATATCAGATCAATTTCACCCAAAAGCCAAAAATCCCCAACTTTTTGTGAAAGTGTGGTGTGCGTTTGTATTCGGCCACTAACCTCAATACATTGTGAAATTTTTTTTTGCTGCCATCACAGCTACAGGGCATTGGGGTATGTATCTAGCAGCTTTGCACATCGATAGACAGAAATTTATTACAAAATAACTCAACTCATTTGGATCAGCTGCAGAGGTTTTAAATTTTGCCTACAGGACTTTTAGGCCTGGACTTTATCTGGGTCAACCAACAGCGACATGCTTTGCTCTTAATTGTTCCATTGCAGCTTTGGCTGTAAGTTTTCAGTTTTCTGGAAGGTGACAATCTGCCCTGATCTCAAGATGTGCTTTTCTTTCCCTGATGAAAAAATAATTCAATCCCAGCTGAAAACTCAAATTCAAACAAACCTTTTCTCTTTGATTGATCTCAACATTTTTTGTTTATTTTTTGATTTTTTCATAAAGTTGACCCTTGTGCATCCGAAAGGCACCTTTTAAATGAAATATATTATTACTATTAGATGTAGTTAGAAACAGATTCAAATAGAGGATGTTGTCATGGTTATGTGGGTGGGAATGCTTTCAGGTCAAGTATGCTAATTTGCATATGCATTTAGGGAAGGAGAAATATGAAGGTTCATGGTTTGTTATAGTCTGTTATCGATTATAAATTTGGATTTATGAAGGCAACATGTGTATTGACAAGTCTACGCATGGTTGTATGCATCTGAATTTTTTATGAACATCAAGTTTCATAATGTATCCCTGCTGCAAACTTTCAGCATAAAAGCTGCTCACTCTTTTGCACATGAGGTCCCAGAGCACTGCCTTCCACATATTTGCTCTGTTCCCAAAATGGGCTTTAGTAATCTGTAGAAAGAAAACTTAAACGTTGTTCTATTTGTCGATCTCTGTGTTATATTGTTTAGAGAGAATTTCTGAACTTCAATTTTCAAGTATTACCACATATTCTAAATTGTGGTAATACAACTGATTTTTGGAGGGCACTAGTAAAGTCCACTTTCCCCCTGACCCGTCTGCTGTGCTCCTCGGTCTTCGTGATGTCTCGTTACTAATTTTCAACACATCACTACTTGAAGAAAGAAAAATGTAGGAAAGAAAAACGACATAATTTTCCTTACACTTCAATCATATGTGACTTTGTGAGAGTTTATCAAAGCTTGTGGTTGTATTATAATGGACTAGAAAAACTTCAAAGGATATGGATTTAGTTTTAAAATATGAGCCTTGCCTGCTAGCATTATGCTAACTAGCAGAACTCTTAACATACAAAAGGATTTTTAAATCTATTTTTAAACATACATGAACCAATAAAATCCAGCAGTAAAATCCTTAAATGTTGGTGTAGATTATAAGAAATTATTAATGAAATATCATAGGTGCCTGAGTACCTGCTGCGAGTTTGGTCCACTTTTGCCTGGATTAGAATGGCTCGGTAGCGCCGCACAGCCAAACAAGCCAAAATGCCAATAAGCATCACTATGATGAGTAAGATGGTGAGACATGCACCTACAAGCCGAGCTCTGGTCATCCTCATGTCACACCTCTGACCCATGTACCAGAAGTCTTCCCCTACAAGACAACTAAAGAAAAAAACCTCACTTAGACCACAGAGATATTTTCTGATAACTGGAAGGAAGGCATCACTGTGTTGATGTGACTACCGGCAGACAGGAAGCTGCCCTGGATGGTGTGTGCAAATGCCGTGGTGGTGGCAATAGTCATAGTGGCAGGCAGAGGAGCAGCTGTAGTTGGTGGTGCCGGGCTGGAGGACACATTTATACCCGGATGGGCACTGCAGTAACCAGTTACACACATCGCCCTGCAGGCCTGAAAAAAAAAAGCATGTTTGAAAGACAAAGGCTGGAAACAAATGTCCAGATTTGCATGCTTCATTGAAATCACAAAACAAACCCCATGTTGTGTACTTAACTCAAATTCAAATTCAAAAATGCTTTATTAATCCCAAAGGGAAATGAAATTCCCTCCAACTGTAATCTGATTCAGATCACATTTACTAAGAGGTTCTAAATGATTGTGGTTGTTGATTATGACTGAGATCGTTTCATCTTTTTTTACATCTATTGAATTGGTATGTATACAATCATGTAAAACATGTAAACAAACATACTAGAATTCCAGGTTGATGGACTTAAGAAATCTCCCAACTTAAATATGACACAAATGCAAAATCAACTGAAAAAACAAAACAACAAAAAAAAAACTGTTTGGGCGAATGGCATAAATGCAAACACCCTTCAAAGACCTAAACTGAAAGATGTTTCAACAAACATCAGCTGGAGTCTGTCAGCATGAAATGTCAGGTCTTGACAATATTTAGCCACTCAACAGCAAAACCTTTCCAAATCTATTAAATTGCACATGGGCATCTAATGTGAATTACCCAGTAACTATATATAAAACTTAACGGTATTTTAAATAAGATGTCCCATCAGAAAGTATGCAGGAATTTTAGGAGGAAGGTAATCATAAAGTACAGGCGTACTTAAGCAACACTCATTATCACAAAGCACCTGATACTTCAGGCATCTTACAAATGTTTACTAAGCCAGAGATTAGCTGAAGAAGGAGTGGCAGGAAATTAAAACATGTTCAGGCACATTCTCTGAATGAAGTGCCTTCTATAGACCAGAAGCAATAATCAGATTTTTCATGAAAGAATTGGGAGCTTTCTCATGCCGCTTCAACTGAACTCACACAAGTTCAACTGTAGCTCACTGAATTCATTCAGGGAATTAAGGAATGAACGTCTCTGAGCTGTTTTTGTCTTGACTGTGGAGAAACTCATGTGGAAGACAACTTGCACTGAGTGCTAGTAAGTGATGTGTTTGCTCACCTCCTACAGTGATGTTGGTGATCCGACATGATCTGAACATCTTCCCCTGGTGAACAGCCTGAGCTAGTCCTGTTCGTTCCAGAAGTGATGTGGCCCCGCTTACACCGAGCCACTGCAGAGCCTCACTAGTTTGAAACACAACCAGGCTCTGCACTGCCTGGCCACTGGGAAAAAAGTAAAACACAGAAATGTCAGCCTATGCAACCTTCACCCACTTAAATACCAACATAATCCTTTTTCCCAGTTGAAAGAAAAAAAATTTGGGTTGGGATGAACTGCATGGTGAGCCACCGTGCGAATCGGGGTCATGACCTCAACACCAACACCACAATAATGGTTCAGACACAAAAATCTCCTTTGAATGCCATCCTTTATACCTTGAACCAATACCAAACATGTGTGATTAAGATCCAAGTATAGAATAGGTATTACAAAACGTTTTAAGGCAAGGCACCTAGAAGGCGGTGTTTTTTTAGGCTATATGTGGGGGACTACTGTGGAAAACATTAAAAATATAGTTTGGTGAGGCAGGATGGGTATATTTGATTTGGTTAGTGCTGAACACACATCATAATGAGGATTTGCTTGCATCATCCTGTTAAGGATGAAAGATGTGTATCCATGCAGAACCACGGCAAGACGCTGCATTGTAGCCAGTAGTTTTAACTGGTATTTGACCAAAAATCAACTGCAAAGTTTTGGAAAGGCCTATTTTATTCTAAAAACAGAAAAACAATTTTGTTGGGAAAAAAATTACCAAAAATGACCTTTAATTAAATTAGCTCACCTGCTCCAGACTCCCAGCAGCTTACAGAAGCCCGGTGCTCTCTGCAGGTAGGACTCCAACTAAAATAACAAAATGGAAAGCAGGAGGTGGGCAGAAGCAGAAGAAAACTAAAGTCAGACAGGTACTTTGTTGTCTAAATGTGTTCATTTGTGCCAATTACAACATCGTCTGAGTACACTTTCTCACCCATGGCATTATGTCTTCCTCCAAACCAGCAGTCGAAGTGGAACGAGACTCTTCTACAACTATCTGCAGCAGCAGCTCAACTGATTCCACTAGACAGAAAAATGTTATAATCTCAACATTTAGTTTAATACAATAAATTATAGCGGTAGTGAACTCTGATGGCACCTCTTTGCCAGTTCACTCCTTCATTCCGTCCCTTAGAACAGTAATTTTGTCCCTTTCAACATCAGATTTAGTTATCAAGAATCTATTATTCTTTGTAAATATTTTTTATAAATTACATAGATAAAATTGTCAAAAATGCTTAAATCTCATTGCATTATTATTGCTTATATATTATATATATATATATATATATATACCCTGACTTGGGTCGACTGACTTATGAAATATGGCAAATTATGACCCCTGTTCAAATAAAAAAATTACTGTAATCTTCTTCTAATAGATATTTACTGAGGTCATAAGGCTAAACATAATCAACTGGAAAGCATTCTTTGTTAAACTGGGAGCAAAACATTTCTGTGACAGAAACACCTCAGGAAGCAACATCATGCTGAAAAGGTTTGGTTGGTGGGTTAAAAACAGCCAAAACTTCAGAAGGTATGAAATGACTGAGGCAAACTGACCATCACCCACCTCTAACGGTAGCAGGTTGGTTTGGAACAACATAGTAGATGGGACTTTTTGTTGAACTCCCCTTAAATGAAGGGGTAAATGCTGGTGATGTGACACCAAAATGGTTCTGTTGGCTGGGATGAAAGGCCTGAGTAGGTCCACCTGGACGTTTATGCTTCATTGTGCCACTTGGAGACCACTGCCAGGATGTGGTCTCCTTCACATCTCCACTATCAGATTTCAATGGGTGCGAAGGTGTATTTTTAGTAGTAAAGTGTTTGTTTGGAGACACCGTAGCAGAAGACGGCAGGAACAGATGAAAGATTTGTGAGGATTCAGATGTAGATTTGGGGTTCATGCTGCTTGTGTCTGTGGAGGATTCAGCCATTGAAGAGGGAAAAGTCACCTGTGTACCATCAGGAAGCCCAGTTTGTTTTTGGAGCCCATATGAAGGAGTAGATGAATCCATGGGTGATTTCAAACTTTCACTAAACGATGGTGAATGCATTTGTCTGATAGTTGTTGAGGTCTGGAATTTGATTATTTGTGTTGGTCTGGTTGTAGAAAAAGATCCATCCTCATTAAACAAAGTTTTCATCATGTTTGTGGTGATGTACAAATGAGTCCCACTTCTTTGCATTCCTTTCGTCGACGTTTGTTTGTCTATTCTGGGTGTTTGTGACGGGGTGGGGGAGGGATGCAGGGAATGAGAGAGTCTCTCCATGTTTTCAGGAGAGTTTGTCTGACTCTGTGTGGAAGGGGTGACTGGATGAAACCCATCTGTATTGTCCAGCCCATCAGTCGACTTCACAGCAGCTCTCCGAGAACTAATGTCAGACTCAGATGACTCACTCTGAACTGTGTGTGGAGGAGGCAAAGCAGCCTCCACAGTGCCCACACCAGTGGGAATCTCTGCCATGTGGATGGTGGGTGAAGGAGCCCCACTGGAGCCCTGTGAGGAAGATGGTAATGACAGAGACGGCTCTGTGCTGGTTGAGTCATGTTGTTTGATGGAGGATTTTACAGTTTTTGTAGATGTGATGGAGGTGAAAGCTGCATAAAATCCTTCTGAGTGAGCTTGTTTATTCTCAGGAGTTTGATCAACAGCACCACTGTGTGGATTTATTGAGGTACTGCTGTCAGAAGTCAATATCCCAGGCAAAGAAGAATTAAAACCACTGGAACTGGAAATACTTTGGTTTGTCTGCATATCTGTAAGTCCATCCATCTGTGTAACAAACTCCTCCATCTTCATTGTCTGTCCAGATATAGATCTTTGGAAATCTGTGGTAACGGAAAGAGTGACCTTCGTGTCTGTCCAGGATGTCTCAGTTTGCGCTTGGGCTAAGTCAGTAGGATTTTCTGTTTTGGTGTCTGTACTGACTGCAGGCTGAAAATATGGGTGTGTTATGGCAGTCGTGGGAGCGACAGCGAGGTGAGTCGCTCCAGATGTATCCGCTTCATTGTTCCATTTTTCCTCAGGAAGAGGGAGAGTTTCCCTATCAGTTCTCCCAGATAGTAGGAGTCCCCTCTGGGATGAGGTCGGCTGCAGCAACTCCTTGTCGTGAGAGAAGGTGCTAGATGCAGAGCGAGTGTCAAAATTACAAATTTGCCCTTCATGGACACGACCTCTGCCCTCTGTTGTATCCTTCATCACCCTCTGGGCAGCTGTGTAAATGCTTTCATTGGTGGCTCCTTTCACAGACCAAGTAGGGTCCTGCTGCTGTTGGTGAATTGATTGGCCCTCTGAGGAATTTCTCTCAGCTTCCTGAACTAGATGACCAGGAAGAACACAGAAAAACAAAGAGGCAGAGAGCGTGAGGATGGAGAGTTAAAAATCACAAAATTCCCCTAACACAACACAACAAGTGTGATAAATTTCCAACCAACACATTGAGTGAAAACATTTCACTGGATGTTCTGTTACCCACCCACATTAAGCCTGAATAAACTTGTTCCATCTACTGCAACAAAAACATTTTAATGCAACTAGAGCTGGTGAGAAAGCATGCCTCCAACTTCATTAGTACCGGATAACACTCACATGAACTAAATAAGTAAAGGCAATGTGGTTAAACTGTACATGAGGAATGTGTTTTCTCACCACAATAAGTCAGATGAATTGAATTTGAGGAAATTCTTGGCCCTTTCCAACTGAGGACAGCTTTATTTTCATCACAGTCAGAGAGCAATGCTATTTCCCCATGACTCTGTAGGATCTGATCTTCCTCAACACATCTCAGCGAGATCCTCCAATTACTTTCTGTCCATTTTAACTGTAAAAGTATCTTCTTCCTCAGAGGAATGCCCAACAGCCAAGTGCAATTTGAAAGCGGTAAGCTTTCCTCCGATTGCTGGCTCCTGGGGCTGAGGCTACCGGTGTGGTTAAAGAATCCAGGTAGAAGGAGAGTGATGTGGCCTTCAGGTTCTTGATCCAAGGTGACATTTCCACCACAGTGTTGGTGCAATAATGTCACAGCTTTATCTAGAAAGAAGAAACCAGATAAATTATAGAGAAAACCTAACATTTGTAATTATTTAGGAAAAAAAGAAGAAAAAACAAAACAAAAACAAATTTATGGTCTTGCATAAAAGAGCTACAATCATGGACTTCTACTGGGCTGTTAGGAGAAATAGCTATAGTCCTTCTGATATGTATAAATATCCATTTGGATGGAAGCATGTTTTTAGGTTGACATAATCAATGAAAGTTTAGAACCAAAACCAAAATGTGAAAGATAAAAATAAAAAAAGTGTATGATGAGTAGCACTTTGAACACCTTAGTTTCAATTTTATTCAGATATGAAAAATGGCCAAGGTTGAATGTGGCATATCTCTCTCCTCACCACAGTTCTGCAGAGGTCCATTACTGAAGCATCATTTGATCCAGGTGTGCTCAACCAAATAAAGAGCTAAAGCATGCAGGAAACCAGCCCTTAAGGTCAAACTGTTTATTCTGCTGGCTTAGGTCGTTTACCAGAAACATCCCAGATTTAGGAATCAGAGCAGATTTAGAAAACCAGGAGGGCATGCTAAGCTGGGATTGTCCAGATATCCTGGCTTTTTTAAACTTCAATTTGGTTTCACAAAAATGGTAACACAAGTTTCCATGGCAATTTATTTTGTGCTGCTAGCCTGCTCCAGACCAGGCTAACAGATAGAATTAGTTAATCCTGGAGTCTGCAAGATGCTCACACTGATCAGAAACCAATATATTTCTGACATCCATCTGTTTTAGTCTCCTTTTTAATCACTCTGCATGAAAATACCACTACTTTTTTTTGGTTCAGTCAAGTGATATTATTTTAACATTGTAATGTTAGAAAATAACATGATTAATTTTAAAATGATTGCTGTGGACTATGTTTCTGTTCTACTGTGTTTCTGAAGACCTTTGTTCTAGTTTTACAGAAAGGCCTTTAATAGACCACTGCAATGATGAGTGGATTAGAAAAATGACTGATAAAAAAAAAACAAAGGTATTATAATCAAGTCAAGCCATATCAGTTGTAGCATACTTTACTGATTAATTTTAACTTCACTTAAGATAAGGTTCAGATTATAAATTAACCCTAGTATTGCATATAATTAAATTAATTAAATTTAAATCACACACTACTTAAAATATTTACTCCATAAACATCTTTTAGTCTCTGGCCACGGGGCTGCTAAGAAGATACAGTTTACAAACTCAATTATAACTTATCTTCTCTTCTCTTCTGTCCTTTGATCGTGTTAAGCCTTTGCACAGTCAAACAAGAAATTGTCCCTTCAAAACAAAAAAGCATCACAACTCCAGAGGTACCCAAAGTGGGTCTTTGAGGTCCTGCACCCTGCATGTTTTAGTCCTCTGCCTGGTAACAACCTCCTCAGCAAGTCAATGTTCTTCTAGACCTCTAATGAGCCATCATTTGATCCAGGTGATTGAACCACTGGGTTATACTATTAAAGGTGATATAGGCAGGGACCTTCTAAGTTATTAGTAAGTCATTTGCACATTGTAGTCAACATTTAATCCTACAAAATGTTATTTAATCTTGACTTGTCATGTTTGTTTTCTATAAATATCAATAAGATATGGAACAAAAAAAACAGGAATTAATTAGCAGATTAAATTGATATATATACTTTCATAGTTCATTTATGAGGTTATTTGAGCAGATGACAGGTATGATTATGATGACATTGGCAAAGATCAAGCTGCCATTTTTTGATATGGTATTTTGTCTTTAGTATGATGTGCTTAAATTCCACACAATCCTTCATTAAAGATGCTGTTTGTTTGGTGTGAGGCATGACGTGTGCAATTTATCTAGCATAGCATCAGTGAATCTGTGATCAATATCTTGATTTGCTGAAAAAAATCTGTTGATACACATTCACCTGAATTACTTAAGCCTGGCTTGACATGCTGCACCTCCTGAACCAGGTTTGGTTTTTGTGAAACGGATAAAGTCAGGATGAACTGATGATGTCTCACTTTATCTCTTATCCTGAAGTTTTGAATCCAGGACTAGTAAATATAATTCATATTTGAGTTTCAAACTGTGAAGGTTTATAGTATGTATGAACATTAGCCAAAACATCTTATAAAAACTCCCCAAATAGTAAAATTTACTGTATCCATTTAAAACTCTTGAAATGAAATATATATATTTTGAATCATGTTTTCTTCCCTCAATAAAAGAGCCCCATTCTGCAGAATTTTAAATGCAATCTTACACAGCTATACAAGCTCAATACATTTAGAAGTCTGATTTAACTAGTCACATCCTAACGATTAAGGAGAAAATTCCAGAGAAAGGATAACAGTAGATAGATAGCACGACCTCACTGTACAGTTAATAACCATTTCACTGAGCAGGTAAATGACTTTCTACCCTGGGGGGCTAAGCCGCCCCTGGCCCTTCAGTTTCTTCACGTACTTGACGATATTGCTAGAGGTATGAAAAAAAAAAAAGACAAGAGAAATGATAAACCAGCAAAGAGACAATCGAAATATTTTCTGTATCATCTTTCCTTTGATTATTTTTACACTTACGTTGTTAAGTAGGCATTAATACAAAGACTGAAATAAAAAAAATATTGAGGCTATCAATGAAATGAACTAATTCTTCATAGTAACAAATTACTATGTATATGCTTGCCGTTTTAGTCTAAAATGCTGCAGATTCGCATTAGTAGTTAGACTCCAGATGCTGTTCCTACCTGTTGTAAAGAAAAAGAGCAACAGACAAACGTGGAGCTGCATTTCCAGCGGTGAGACATTTCAGACACAGAACCAGCCCGTTTTCCTTTCTGCTGCGACGAGGGCGAACAAACTGCGCAAAGCCCGAATCAATCTCATCCAGTCTTCCTGTGGACGGAGGACAGAGAGGCGTCACGGTCCCCCCTCCTCTTACACCATCATCATCATTTCCCCTGCAGGACACAAATGGAGCCCCACAACCTCCCCGTGTCATCTAATGACATACACGTGTGTCAGTGAAACGCAGCGTCCTGCATGGTCAGCGACTTGTGCTTTAATGATGAGCTTCACGGCGCCTCCAGGCTGCGGCTGCGTCGTTAAGGTTCATGGAGATTTCCAGAGAGGAGAGAAAGGGATCCTCTGGTCGCTACACATACTGATGTTTTACACCATAGTTAACTTGTTGAAGGAAGTCTGAGTTTATTGCAGGAACCAGTGAGATGTTAGCGCTGAAGCTTCATTAGAGACTGAAACTCCTGAATACTCCAGACGAGCCAACCTGAACAACCAATTAGAGCATTTTTGTACCATTAATTCAATCTCTGCTGCCCCCATGTCTGTAACCTCTACTTTAACTAATCAGCTAACTGTTTTTAAACAACAACCGCACTCGCCTCTCTGAATAACTAACTAACTAACTAACTAACTAACTAACTAACTAACTAACTAACTAACTAAAATAAAAATCCAAAATTTATTTTGAGTGTTTTAAATGGGCCACTAAGTGAAACATTTGGACTTTTGGAAAATGAGATTGGTTAATTCCTTTTTTAAAATTATTTCATTACCTGATTTCAATTGTTGTTTTCAAGCAACACATGATCAGAGGGCTGTTTCACAAATCCGGGATAGTGGCTTAAGTCTATCCTGGTTAAATATATCCCCAGTGGATTAAGTCTGGATTTTCTGGACATCCTGGATTAATTAAACCTCAATCCGATTTCACAAAAAATTGTCACATATGTTACCATGGCGATTTACCGTGCAGAAAAGAAACAAAGCACATAGTGTTAATCACTTGCTTTGTGTCATTGACTTTACAACAATCCCTCATATTGAGAATACATGGAGCGACAGTGGAGTGGAAAACTCTCCTTTAATCTGCCATCTGCCAAGACCAACTGCTGGTTTGAAAAGGGAGAACAACTGTACAAGAAGAAACAATGAACTGATGTAGGATTTTTTTTTTATGTTTATGAAAGAAAAAATTAATAGCAGAAAAAGGAGAACAATTAGTTGATGGCAATGATATGGAATAAGCTGCTTCCACAGGAGAATCAAAGCAACTCTTCAGGTATGTTTTTGATGAAGGTTATCCTGACTCACAAACTAAGTCACATATCTTAGTTTACAGCACTGACCAAATCAAACTCATCATGATCAGGCTTGATGAACCAGAGATGGTCTCCTTCTTTCTCCATGGCTCCACTGGTGTCACAGTTTCTTCTGCTTCTATAGCACAGTCATCAACCCAGAACCAATAATGGAGGGAGGAGGTATAGTGAAGGTAGAGCCATATGAAGGGAATGTTAGCTTTCTCAGCCTGCAGTTCAGCAAAGATCTGCATCTGTTTATTCAAGATGGAGGCCAGCTCTTTGTAGTTATGTCTGCAGTAGCTCTGGGCTTCTTCCCAGGTCTTGTTTTGGTCAATCAGTATAAAAAGGTAAATCTTAAAAAGAAACATGAATATGTTTTATATGACAGAAAGTCAAGTAACTCCATATAAGATTTAATGTAAACAGCAAAGTCAGCGATGCAATAAGTTTATAGAAGATGTGCGAATGATCTGATCCACAGGTGTAATATTCCAGTCCTCAAGGGCCGACGTCCTGCAGTTTTTAGATGTGACACAGGTACAAAACACAGGAATGAAATGGCTTAATTACCTCCTTCTGATGAGTCATCAAAGTCAACTCATCCTTGACTTTGATGAGTTGACATCATCAAAGTCAACTCACCACTAGGTCATCCTCCATGGCCTCTGTGAACTTCTCCCACACCCAAGTTTTTGCCTCAGCGACCATCTGAGCTGCATGCCACTTGGACTGCCAGTAACCATCAGCTGCTTCCAGCGTCCTACAGAGCAAAAAGAGCCGGTAGGTCTCTATTTTCAGCTTGACAGTATCTCTCCCTTCTGGTGCCCATGAACTGATTCTAGGGTTGACCCCAAAACAGGCACTGACAACCTTGTGACCAGAACTCTGATAAGCCACCCCAACAATAAAGGAAAGGAACGTAACTGACCATGGGCCATGTTCCATCCACATCCTAGTGTCTGAACCACTATCTTTGTAGTTGGTCAGTGGTCGCATTGAGCCCAACACTAAATTCATCCTGTCCTTCTGTGGTCTTTTCATAGACGCAAATGTGCCCATTATGGCAAATGTCAGCTTCGCAGTCCATATTTGTAAGTGATACCAGATCACTCTAAGCCTTAAACAACAATTGTCCACACATCAGATTTGAGTAAAGGCTGCTAGTGTCAGAAGTTGTTCTTTGTCGCCAGCAACTGACTGAGTTCCAGTCTTTACAGGAATATCAAGCACTGGGTCAGGAATCACAGGATATTCTAAATCATCTGTAACACTGACACTTTCAAAAGCAGCAAAGTCTTCTGATGCCTTTACTGTCAAATCCATAGTTGTGGTTTTGCCAATATCTTTCTCATCCATAGAGGAATCTTCCATGTCCTTTTTGTCTTCAGGGTCAAAAGCAAAGTATTTTGATCTCTCGTCCTCAGAGTTCTCTACTAAACCATCGTTGCCTCTTATGTTTTATCCTAACAACTTTTCAACTCCCTTCGTAACAAGAAATCCAAGATCCCATAAATATCAAAATCCTCTTGACTTGATGTTCAGCTAAAATGGTTTGTAGAATCAGTTTGAAGTCGTCTCTCAGGAATCGATCTGCCTCCAACCAAGTTGAGAAGCAAACTGAGAATTCTTGTATTCTTGTATCTTTGTGAACATTTATGACATCATCAGTTTGAACATAGAGGTTCTCATCGACATGATGATGTCAAACTTGTGCCAGGTTCTTGTTTGTTTTAGTTGCTATGGAAATACAAAGAGTTATGTATGAGGTAAGATTACTGTCAATTATAAGTCAAATTAAAATTGAAAAATGCTTTATTACTCGCAAACAACAAATTAAATGTTGTTGTGACTCATTCATTCTGCAGAGTTGTTGTAGATTGTAGTGGATGATGGCAGAAAAGATCTCTTGTAGTGATCTGACAGGAAATCTGAAGAAGCCTCTGAATGAAAATATTCTGCTTTCTCAAGACAGTCTCATGAAGAGAATGGTCAGGGCTATCTAAACTCTTCTTGATTTTATGAAGATTTTCCAGATAAGCAGAAAATGGACGGATGGATAAAAAAAATTTCACACACATCCTGCGCTGTTTCATTCCTGTTGTAAAATTGCCATTTCATTGTGTAAAATGTTCTACAAGTTTAAAAAAAAATAAAAAAATATTGAAAAATGAAATAATTATTGTGTGGAATGAAACATCATAGAAAATATAGCTCAAAAAGTGGATTTTTTTTTATAATTCCAACTCTGCTTTTCAACTAAAGTTTGAAGCAACCAGAATGTATCTAATATGAAACCTTGGTTAGATGAAGATTCTTCTGAACATGTGAAAGCATTTTGTGTGTTTTGCAAAAGAATTAAATCAAATTTTAACATTTGGTAATGTGTTTTGTCGCCAGCAAATGACTGAGTTCCAGTTTTTACAGGAATTTCAAGCACTGGGTCAGGAATCACAGAATATTCTAAATCAGGAGTGTCAATATCCAGTCCTCGAGGGCCGGTGTCCTGCAACTTTTAGATGTGCCTCTGCTGCACCTTACCTGAGTAGGATAATTAGGTCATTAGCAAGGCTCTGGGGCACTGATCTACACAAGGAGGAGGTAATTAAGCCATTTCATTCCTGTGTCTTGTACCCTGGCACATCAAAAAACTGCAGGACAGTGGCCCTCAAGGACTAGAGTTTGATGCCCCTGTTCTAAATCATCTGGACTGTCTGACCATGGGAGTATCAGAGTCATCACATCAATGTCTTTGAAAAAGTATTCTGTCTTTATGTTGGAGTTGCAGGTGTCACAACATTTTTCACACATATAACAACTTAGAGTAGTTGTAGTGTCCTCTTGTTGTTCCTTTGGGAGGTGAATGACAGGACCAAGGTTACAAATAACACATGAAGACTTCTGACATTGTTCACAATAGTCAGCTGTGTACAGCTCACAGTCTGTGTTAATGACATATTGGGTCAGATAGTGTAACATATAAAACAAAAAGACTCCTGGCTTGTCCTGATGTACTACATTCTTCATCTTCAGTGTTTCAATTATTTCATTCTGAACTGCAAAGACTTCATCTAGAGAAAATATCTTCCTGGATGATACATTGCTGTACAGAAAAACCTTGCAAACAATGGCATCTCTGTAAAAGGTCCGGATTCTGAGCCACAGACCTTCTGGTAATACTCAAGTTCATGATGCTACTTATTGTGGCATTCATCCAACAGTTGAAGAATGGTTGGAAAATTTGCAAAAGTACAAGGTTGGCTCAAGATTTCGACGGCGTGATTTCCACGCCGTCGAAATCATCTGTGTCATTTTGAATTTCATCTTGTGAGTTTTCTTCTGCTGAAAAGGATTCTTCTGATGACGAACCCTCAGACATTTCTTCAAAATTTGTCACAGTTTCCTTGTCACAGTTTGATTTCACATCCAGGTCCACCAACAACAATAACTTTTTTTTTATATCTTTGTTGGTAAAGAGTTAGCAGTTATTGTAACGGTAACTCCCTCAACCTGTGAGCAAACAAACACATGCAGGTCCATTTGGTCATGAGGAACATTGACACTTTCAAAAGCAGCAAAGTCTTCTGATGCCTTTACTGTCAAATCCATAGTTGTGGTTTTGCCAATATCTTTCTCATCCTTAGAGGAATCTTCCATGTCCTTTTTGTCTTCAGTGTCAAAAGCAATGTATTTTGATCTCTCGTCCTCAGAGTTCTCTACTAAACCATCGTTGCCTCTTATGTTTTATCCTAACAACTTTTCAATTCCCTTCGTAACATAAATATCAAAATCCTCTTGACTTGATGTTCAGCTAAAATGGTTTGTAGAATCAGTTTGAAGTCGTCTCTCAGGAATCGATCTGCCTCCAACCAAGTTGAGAAGCAAACTGAGAATTCTTGTATTCTTGTATCTTTGTGAACATTTATGACATCATCAGTTTGAACATAGAGGTTCTCATCGACATGATGATGTCAAACTTGTGCCAGGTTCTTGTTTGTTTTAGTTGCTATGGAAATACAGAGTTATGTATGGGGTAAGATTACTGTCAATTATAATTCAAATTAAAATTGAAAAATGCTTTATTACTCGCAAACAACAAATTGAATGTTGTTGTGACTCATTCATTCTGCAGAGTTGTTGTAGATTGTAGTGGATGATGGCAGAAAAGATCTCTTGTAGTGATCTG